TAAAATTTTTCTTAAATTCTACTCTACAAAATAGCTATCTTAGATTTTTTTTTTACATTTTATTTAAAATTTAAAAATAATTAATATTTTTAATAAAATGTAAAAAAATTAATTATTGAGATATAGCTATAGACCTAACGTCTAACTAATGTTAAAAAAAAAATCAGCTAAAAATATTAACTGGATCAAAAGTTATTTAAATTGTCAGTGAGTGGTGGGCCACCTGTATATAGGCAGACATTAAAAATATACCACATTTATCGTCACGCCATTCTGCAAAAGCGGACCTCATAGTGGAGACTTGGCGTTCAAGTCGTCGGCGCATGTCACATACCACATCGGCATAGACTCAACCAACTATGGCGCAAGTGACATATGTTTGGAGGCACAATCCTTGAAAAATCGGAAATAAATGAGTAATGTTTGAGTCATCTATAGACAACAGGTCAAAATGATTAAGTCACTTGATGAGCAATTCAAAGCGAAGTCACTAAACATTTCATCTTGATATCGTTCCAAGTCGTACACATTGGCGGAAACGTCAGGATTGCGTTGATTGGATATTTTAATTTAGGACACAGGTTTAGGGAACTTTAACCTCGAAATTAATACCAAAATGTGACGGAAGATACGCGAATGTTAGGCGCAATGGCTGCATTTTGTACAGTGTTAATCCGTGTATAATATTTTTTTATTTTCTAAATGTATTTTTAAATTTTTTTTCAATCTTCATAATTTTCATACAAGCAGCAAAGTTAAATAAATAGGTATTTTAAATATGAACTCAAACCATATAAAATTGCACGTATACAATTTTTTTATTTCATGATTAATTGATTATATGTTTCATACAAGTTCTCAAAAAATAAAATCTATTTAGTCAACATATTATTAAACGGCTATTATTTATTAAGTATTAAATAAAATATTACACCGTTAATGATCAAGTGGACAAAGTTACTAAAACGTATACGTATACATAACGTATCGTTATGTTTACGACCTTTAAACATATGTTAAATTAAAGCTTATATTATGTGCTCTATGTTAAATAAAAATTTCCCGACAACCTATCTTAGATATGCAAATGGCTGTCGAAGTTAAACGAATTTTGAAAAAATGAGGAGATATGAGTTCATTGTGATTTTAAAATTATCGACTAATTTCTTAAAGTTAAACACTATCTACAGATTTGCACCGAAGCATTTTTTATGGTGGTGATTTTAGTCATTATCAGATATCTCTATACTTGTCCACACTTGTAACTATATCACGTCCACACTGTCCCCCGATCCCACTGCGTTACTGTACTGTTTTAATATGTTTTTCTATTAAATTTGAGTTTCATCATAGAATTGATAAAATTTCATTACAAATCTTGTCAAATATTTATTTATTAATTATCAAATTTATCATTTAATTTTCATATTTAACATATTAAATTAAAAGCATCGAAGACTTTAAGTTTTATAAGACGTAATTGTTTTGAGTTTAGTAACTTAAATTGTTTAAGAATATTATATTCATCATTAGTCTGAATGATTGCTTATTATGGTGTCGTAAATCAAAAAATAGGTAAATGAGAAAGGGGTATTGAAAATAAAGACCTATCTTTTTTCTCGGGCTGTGTTGTTCGAGGGTATATATATAATAAAAACTGATCACTTGTGGCTAATTAATTAAGTAAATTTAAAACTATATTAAAAATATTAAACTTAAAGCCACAAAAAATTAATGAAAAGTCGCGGATACGTATTTCGGAATCAATGTTACCATTTTCAATGCTAAACACATATTGACACATACTGGTTTATGTTTGTTAGCATTAATTTGCAAGCTGAGTTTGAATGTCCTTACTTTAATTTTAACTATCCTTCAGAAGTGCAAAATAGTGATAAAAAAAGAACGCAAAGCCAAACAGTGTCGATGAAAAAAATAATATAATTAATGTAACTTCACATATATTTATTTAAAACAATTGTAATAATCACGCGAAGTTTACAGAGTGATATTATTCTTAATTAAAAAACACAACTTTAAATATTAATTAATACACTTATAATTATTCTGCGGTGTTAAATTAATTTAGCTCGCGAGAACCTGACGATGAAAGCGACGTGTTCGTGTGTCGGTTTTATCGAAACAACACGAGAGCGTCCGTTCCAGAGTTTCTCCAGGTGTTCTTCTTAAAACCCATTCCAGAGACGCACATATTCATCGTCCGGCTTTCATTTGCTTCACATTTTTCAGGAATTTCATGATTTTGTACATACATTGAAAAAGGGTTCTTTGACTGAAAATAATAAATGGAAACATAAATTATTGAAGGGTGCACGTGCGGTGAAAAAGAAGAGCGGATGACTATGGCGTGATTGTGTCAACTATGTGTTGGATGTGATTAAGAATAGAAAATATTGATTGTGTATAGTATTTGTTGTGAGAAGTATTGTGTAATAGGATAGAATATTTGTTATTTGTTGAGAAGAGAAAGAAATAGTGTTTTTAAGTATAGGGCCTATTACAACAATGTTATGGAATATTTTTCAGTCTAATTTAATATCAAATTTTATACGAAATATTAGTTATAAATAAATACTTCTACCACTGAGTACCATAAATTATTAAGATTATTAGGTTTAGAAACATTAGCTGTAAGTCGCGAATTAAACGAGACTTGTTTTGTTTTTAATTTAATTACTAATAAAATTGCTTGTTCAGAACTTCTGATTTAATTAAGGTTCCATGTTACTATTTTTATTTAAATTATAAGTATTCATTTAACGATAATAACACTCAAAACAGATTTCAATGGACCTTTTAATCGATTTACAATATAACTTGTAATAATCTACCTAATTTTGATTTGTTTATTGTGATAATATAGCTAAATTGAAGTATACTGTTCATTGTAATTTTTTCAAATTTCTTTGTAAGGAAAAGGCTAAAAATGGCTGTTTTAAAATAAAAAAAAGAATATAAACGACATTTTTTTTAGTTTTTCCTTAATATTCTTACTATAAATAATAAAAAATATTCTTTAAACATAGTCTAAGCAGACAATAATGATTTCTAAAAATTTTTATCAAAATCATAATTGGATCGAAAGTTAAAATTACTGTGTGTTAGATTTGAGACAAGCTATAATACAGCCTATATATACAGTGTTCAGCCAGTAAGGAAACAGGTCAATTATTACAAACAATGAGAAATATAGATTTTCGTTTCCTTAATTACTGAATACCCTATGTATTATACATATAATATGTATAGATATACAGTATTTGTATATACTTGTACGTGTTAATATATATATTTTATATATATATATATATTTCATTGGAAGGGATATAAGTGTTAGATGGATCATTGTGTAAGCATATATATTATGTTTAATCTTGAAATATGCAATTTTATACTTAGAATTTGTGACGTTACTGTATACTGTTTTATCATTTATGTCATTTTTCATTACAATTACTAAATAGTAGAACCATAGAAGGATTTATTTATTTTTTCAATTTTATAATACTTTAAGAGTTTTAATACTTTTTTACAATTCTTAAATATAGGGGCTTTTTAATTTTTGGATAGGTTCATCTACATCAAAATTGGGTTCTTTTGACATAAAGATCATCCAAATCAGTCCAATTAGAGCTAAGAATATTCATGTACAGATATAAAAAGCACCATATTATGGTAAAACATTTGCATCAAAGCTAAAAATTGAAATCTACAGAGTAGACCGTTTATCATCAACCATTCGATTACACACAAATTAATTACAATATAGAAAACAAAAATTTTACTTCTTTTAGTCACGTCAAGGCCAATGTAAATTTTTTAATTTTTTATGTTTTAACCACGTTTAAAACAAGTAGTGTTTAAAATGTATTATGGTAGTGTTAACTTCATTAGTTAAATATTTACATTTTATAAAATCGATTAAAAATTTGTACAATTGTCATCATTGAAAATAATATTTTTAAATATGAAGCGATACAATCAATGATGACTAAGTTTTATAGCTATATAATTTTTTAATTTATATAATTTTCCAATTGTTTTTCAAGGTGCAAAAAATTTTTTTTATAAATTTTTAATTATTACTATTATTAATTCAATTTTTTGTAGCTATATATTTCAAAATATTAAACGTTTAAAAATACGGATAAAAAAGCCAGAACAATGGAGTGGTGGTAAAGTGAGGACGTAGAATAGTTGTGTCAAGTACAATGATATCTGATAGTTATTAAAATCACTCTCTTAAAAATACTTCGATGCAAATCTATAGATAGTGTTTAATTTTGAAAAATTGGTGGATTAAACCAAAAACAAAATTACAAAAACGTAATTAAAAAAGAATTACGGAAAAATTGCAAAAAAATCATTGTTACAGACATTGATTTTTACTGAATCGGCAAACGTTAATCGCATTCGTTTTTTGATAAAATTGGAAATTTAACTATTTCAAAAGCTATATGAACTTCTATTTCCTTATTTATAATCCTGATAACAAGTTTTATGATATATACAGGGTGATTTTTTTATCATAACCCACTCTATTACTTACAGAATAATAATAAATTTAACATTTTTTTTTTCGATTATCTTTAGTTACACATAATGCTTGAAATAATAACTATGTAATACTTTTTAAGTTTATCCCTTATGCCTGATAAGGGTGTCAAATTTGTTTTTTTAAATGGTAACACAATTTTTAATTTAATAAAATGTTTGAGTTTTTAATTCAATAATAAATGGCATTTGAATTTTTAATAAAACTTAATTTGTTTATTAGATATAAACATTTAAAGTTTCAAATTTTTGAGTTAATATATAGGTATAATACACAAGGGATTACAAATACAGGTAGCTAATTGATTTTTTATGACATCGATATTAGTAGGTACACAGGATTATTAGAATCAATGATAGTAAGGTACATTGTTGTGAGTTTATAAATACACTAACTGACAATATAAAAAGTATATCTATTGATAGTCATAATTGATAATAAACAATCCGTGACTGTCATAGCAATATCATAAAAAACCAATTAGCTACCTGTATTTGTAATCCCTTGTGCATTATACCTATATATTAACTCAAAAATTTGAAACTTTAAATGTTTAAATCTAACAAACTAATAAAGTTATATTAAACATTTAAATATCATTTACTATTAAATTCAAAATACAAACATTTTATTAAATTCAAAATATATGTTCCTATTTAAAAAACGAATCTGTCATCTTTGCAAGTAATAACGGATAAATTAAAAAGTTTTGCATGACTAATAATTAAAAAAAACAGCCTCTTTTATTCAAATATTGATCATATATTACGATTAATATATCAAAATGGTTTGTTTTTTTACTGTAGAATACAAAGTTTTAAGTTTCAAAATGTTAAGTCGAAAATTGAAATCGTGAATATCATAATTAGTGTCTTTATATAGTATATTTCTAGTATGTCCCAAGTAAGCTTAAAATTAAAAAAAAATGTTTTTTGCAGTTTGAGTTATATTTATGTATATTATAAGTAAAAAAAAATTATTTACTAATCTTAAAAACTTATATCTTTAATTAAAAAAATGAAGTATAAGATAAAATATATGATATTCTTGAAAATATTTTTAAATTACGGTTTATTATAAAATGTATGTATGATGGATGTTGATATAAACACACGTATATTTGAAAAATATCAATTGACTTGACTAGAAAAAAATGGCGAACAAATGACACCTTATGAATTTGGTAGGTACTATATAATTACTATATAGTTTTTATGTATTAAAATATATATATTTAATTTCTTTGAGTAGTTCAACATGTATTTCCATCAAGAAGTTCTGAAGAACAGATTAAATTAATCAAACTGAATCTCCAAACCCTAAGCCTACTTATTTATTTAAAAATTCAGAAAATATATTAGGTCCTTCAAGATGTAAAAATTAAGGAGAAGAAATTTTATAACTCTGCAACTTTTTGTAGCTTTAGATAAATGTAAAGTGAGTGACCGAAATGTAATGGATATCATAACAGCTTGTTTCGAAGCTGTATGACATTAATGATTTTGTTCATAGTCGATAGTCTGATTAAGAAAACTTGCGAGAAATCACGCCGAAATACTAATGAAACTATTAAGTCTAATTTTTTAAGTTCCGATCATGATTTTGTTGTAATTTAATGGGATTCGAACATTTTACCTGATATAGCTGGAGTTGAAAATATACACCGACTACCAATTGTTGCTGTAGCGTTCGGAATAGAGCAACTTTTTGCTGTTCCTGATCTTACTTCTTGTACGGGGTTGGAAGTATCATCTGCAGTGTAGGACACATTACAAGAATGAAACTTACTTAGTAAAATCCAAACAATGGTTATTGATACTTCCAATACAGGTAGATTAAATGGAGCTTGTGTTTTTTTGAAACAAAAGTTAAACAGGAATCTTTTACTATTAGTATGTCGTCATCTTAATTTTGAAGTCGTATTTCATAGTGATTATAATCACTGTCAGATATCGTATACTTGTCCCAACTATGCCACGTCCATATTATGCCGCCAGCCTACTGTGTTACCGTTTTTTAATTAATTATCTTTTTATATGAAAAATTCAGAGTAATTATTGATTACTTGGAATTTTATAAATCAAAAAATGTTTTTTTTTTTTTTGAACGTCATTGAAGTTTAAATTCAACATACTTGGGCAGAATACTTTTCTGAATATCCTGGAAATAATTTTTTAAAACCTAAAATATATATAAATTCATCTAAATTGTCCAATGTATGTAGTCTCCAATATTATTTGTATTTGAAGAATTTTAAATTGAAAATAATTACAATAAAATTAAATTCTTACATAATAAGTATTTGGTTTTATTGTAATTCATTACATAGTAATTATGTTACAAATTAATTTTAATTAATAACTATAATTAATTATAGCAATCGCTAAATGAAAGGTTTGATTTGCAAAAAATAAATGAACTTTATAATAACAAATAAGATTATTTAAAATTTTTCGGGTTTAAATTTGATTTTTTGCAGGTGAATAATATATTTTATTTAATAAACAAAACATAAAATAATTTTTAGATTTAAAATAATGATTCAAAGATGTATTCGAAATAATATTTCACCAAAGTATGAAATTGAATAATAACTGCATAACTCAGCTGAAGATAATTTAAGTCCTCTTCAAGTTTTGCATGCTTGCTATGTTGTGAAAAATAATTTTAATAAGATATTTTCACATTGACAATAAACACCTTAAAATTATATTATTATAACAATTGTCGTCAAGTCAAGAGAAATAATATTCTTTGGTTTTACTAAAATAACTTTATATTTGATTACATTGTTTCGTAAAAAACCTTTGTAGAAAAACCAACTTAAAAACAAGCAACGTTTTTTATTTTTTTCAAAAAATTTTTATTGTGAATATTTTTTCAATAAATATAAACATGAAATGGGTTGCCATGAAAATCCATATTTAATTTTCTTTATTAAGGAAAACTGGAACTAGCAAACACAAATTTCTGCTCTTATATCAATAATATTTCAGTTGGTGTTATGAAATACAGAGGCACCAAACGCATATAGCTTCAAAAACACACAGGGTTTAAAATTAAAAAAAAAAATTTCTTCGCTATGTAATTGAAAAAACCCCGTGACACTCACCACCCTTGTCAGTTATCGCTTTAAAAAAAACCCCCAAATGACTTCTTATTAATCGGTTCTGACATAAATACATGTCAATTTCTTAATTAATTAGATTTTTTCTTATTTCATAAGCTATTTAAATATGTATGTTGCCATTTAAAAAAATAAAGTTGATACCCCTTTAAGTTATAAAGGATGATTTCAAAAAGTAATTATTAATTCATAAAAATTCTGATAAATCAAGAAATACAAGTAACTAAAAATAAGGAATATATGTCTTTTTAATATTGAATTTATTTTGAAAGTAATTAAGTGGCTTGTAATAAACCGATCATACTTTATCAATGTCCAAACTATGGCGCATCCGCACTGTACTAGGTTTTTTTTTATATATTTCTGAATCAGACAAATATAGTTAACAGTTTTTTTAATTGGCGGAATGAATATGAAAATTATAGAATTACTTATTTATGGTTGACCCTAAGTAGTTAAGAATTATTAATTGATAAATTAAGAATTACATGTAACTAAAAGAAATCAAAAATCATTTTCCAATATTGTATTAATTTTATGAGTAATTGAGGTGCTTATAATAAACCGATCACTCTGTATACTAAAGTTAATATTATATCTAACCACAGCGTAGTATTACGTTACAAGAGTATTTCATTTACCTCAATTTTGTACATGAAAATGCACTATTTGAAATGTTTATTTTAATATTTAACTCATTTTATACAAGATTTTCCTTTAACACATGTGTGCGCTTAACCATTCTTGGATATTTTTGTGTTAAATACTCACTTAAAACACAAACATTATATGATAATATCGATAATATAAAAACGTTTTATGTATAAACATTTGATAAAATATTATTTTAAAATCGTTTTATCACAACATATATTTTTTTTTTGAGATACAAAACATTGTGATTTATTTTATACACATTTTATTTATTTTGATGCTAGAAACGTTAAACAAATAGAATACTAAACAAATTTTATATGATATAAATATTCAATAAGTGTAACTAGTACAATAGTTAAAATAGTAAATTAGTTACTTTTGCGCTTAGTTTTTTGGCAACAAAATTTAGTCAATCATAAATTAAATTAAAAGTGACGATGAAAATTACTGTCATATCAATTATTGCAATATTTATAGAAACAAGCAATGGCACTTCTGTCATCGGGATAGATGAAAATCCTATTGTTGATAAACGTTTGGAAAGATTGAAAGAATTTTCTCTTTGGAATTACGTGCAGGGTGAAAATTATAACATGATATGGAGTAATATGATTTTTCATACAAATAGGTATATTTTATTAATAACTATTTATGGTTACGATGCATTAAAGGCGGGGTATGATCAAAATATTGCAAATACTCTTGAAAAAGCACTGAAAATATTAAATGCTGCTCTTTTTGTAATTAATCGAGATTATTTACATACAATATCACGCAATACTGAAAAATTTCAAATCAACATAACTTTAGAGTCATTGAATGAAATAAGAACATACTACATTTCAATTATTGCAGACGGAAATGAATGTAATAAATTACATTTTTCGCAAGGCTCTGCACCGAAAATATTTATACCATCAAATGAAGTACTTAAAATTTTACTTGAGGACTTTCCTGCACCACACCTCAATAATAATGGATCGTATAAATTTCATATCATGCCTAAAAAACAAGAAGAAATTGTAGCTAATCTATATAAAATTTACATTTTGATTTCTATTGAATACGAATCCTTTGCCAAAATGACCGATTGGACAAAATATATGTTAAAATCTGTTTAATAATGTAATAGTATTTCATATATCTTAGTTCAATTTTTTTTCTGATTTTAATGTCACCCTCAATCAAGTTTTGTAAATTAAAAAAAAATATAATCTATTTAATGGAATATATTAAACACTTAAATTGTTTCTTTAAAAATCTATATGTTATATATTAGTGGCTGCACTGTTAAGCAGCTAGCGTCTTTGTCCCCTCTTTCATTAAGATGTTAAAAAATAAATAATGTAAAATGAGCACGCTCTTATGATTTTTTAAAATAAAGATTTTACAGTTAACATAACTTGTTCTTATTTAAAATAAGTCCTCTAAAATACGTAATAGTATTTAAGTTATTTTTTTAGCACATTTTATTAAAATAAAAAATATTAATAAATAAATTTCAATTAAAGTTGAAAAACGTTTCTCAGAGAGGAGAATCACGAGCATCTTGAATTTTTTGAATTTTAAAACAACCGAAAAAACTGGTTATAATAGGTAAAAATGATTTTTTATTATCAGGTGAGGGTAGCCTAGCAAATCTTTGTGTTATTTTGAAAGCTTAATTTAACTCCAATTAAATAATTTTGATGGACATAGGCGTTGCTTTAAAATGTTTAAAACAATTAGAATTTGTGTTTTAGCTTTCCTAGTATAATTTCTAAAATAAAGCGCAAACCATTTAAACTGATCTCATTCGTGAAAAAGTATACTTTTATTTTTATTTAGTCTTGAAGAATTAAAATTTTAAAGTAAATGAATTTTCCGATTGATAAATCAAATTAAATCAAAACTTATAACAACCTAAAAAAATTACTAACAAATTGTTGTTTACCGGTTTTATCGTTTCGCACTTTTTATACTATAGCTCAAAAAATAATGAGATTTAAAACGTTTAATATAAAGTTATAAACCAATTATACAATATTTATAAAATCTCGTACAGGCAGATCTTAGTCGTATCTTTAACGCTTTAGTTTTTAACTCCAATTGTCTAATTATGATAGACATAAGCGTTACTCTAAAATGTACAAAACAATTAGAATTTTTGTTATAGTGTTCTCAATATGATTTCTAAAATTACACGCGAACTATTTAAACTGATCTTACTTGTGAAAATGTATACTTTTATTTTTACTTAGTCTTGAAGAATTGAAATTTAATAACTAAATTAATTGTTCGATTGATGAATAAAATAAAAACAAAACTCATCACAACTTACAAAATTACTAACAAATTGTTCACCGGTTTGGTCGTTTTGCACTTTTTATACTATAGCTCAAAAAATAATGATAACAGAGATTTAACACTTTTAATGTACAGTTATTAATCTATTATAAAATATGTATAATATCTCTTACAGGTGGACATTTGATAACATATTTTGTAGGGCTAGAATAATCTAGAAGAGTAAATCGACTGGAGGTTTAATTTTAATAACAATGTAGACAAATTATCAATTTGAGAGGTACTTTTGAATTATTAGCCATAAAAGTCTATATACAAGAAGCGTATTCACAATATGCCACGAGGGCGAAGGCCTATAGTGGCATTTAAGATAAAAAAATACCATTACTTTGTTAATGTGTATAATTTTTAATTTTTGTTCTGTAATTTACTCCTAAAATTCCTTTGAATGAAGTGACTGTACGTCAGATTCAAACCTCAAGGAACACGATACAACTCTACAAATTATTACAATTTATTTAATGGTATACGAACGCATACAGAAAAAAATTAAATCATTCTCTATTTATTAAAAATAAAAGTTGCATATAAAAGGAAAAGTCTCATATAAAAAGAATATTACACACTATTTTCTATCTTAATTTGATAATTTTCAATTTTTCTAACTAAAAATTCATAATTTTATCTCATTAGATTTATGATTTTAACGTTTACTAGTAATTACTAGTAATTTATATATAAAAATTCTATATCTCTTATATATAAGTGATATACACACGTATTTGGGCATAGATGAATACGAAAAATGTAAAAAAATATGTACATGTATGTATTACATCCTTTAGTAAAAAACTTTAAAAAATTAATATTTTAAAAGTAAAACTAATTAGCCACAATTTTAAAAATCAGTACATTTTTAAACTTATTTTACTTGATTTTATCATAATTTTTTTTTAAATAAATGTATCATAGTATGTTTTTTTAATATATATATTACTTGTTTTTTTATCATATGAAATTTTAGCTTCGATGCGAAGCTGAGAAGGTATTAATTTTACCATGATGTGTTTATTTTTTTGTTTGTGTCTGTCTCTACTTTTTCTCAGCTCTCACTGGACCGATTTATTTCAACAATAC